GGAGACCCTGGAGGATCTGGTAAGGGAGCTGGGCTTGAATTCACTTCTCTGCAGAGGTATCAGAACTAACTAATCCTGCCGGGGGTGCCTCAGAAGCATTTCAACTGCCTGTGTCTCTGCAGGTTCCTGGACACATCCAAGCAGGCCATAGGGATGTTGTTCATCCACTTTGCTAACGTCTATTTGTCAGATCTCACAGAGGAGGATCCCTGCTCACTGTAAGTCAGTCCTTTCTAGGACTCCTATCAGAGCTCCTGATTCTGCATGTTACAAGAAACTGTGTTACACTGAAGAGTACCAGCCGTGTTAAATTCTAACCATTAGGCTGTCCAGTAGCAGAAACCTAACTGCAGATTCAAATTACGTTGTCTTCCATCTCTTCCAGGTACCTCATTAACTTCCTGTTAGATGCTTCTCTGGGCATGCTGCTGATCTATGCTGGTGTGAGAGCAGTCAGTGCAATTGTAGAGTGGAGGCAGTGGGACTCTCTGCGCTTTGGAGAATATGGTGAGGAGTATGTGCGACTAATAAAATGGGAGTTTTAGTGCATTACTAAAATTACTGTAACGCCCAGACGAGGGCAGTAGCTGTCCTCAGTACGCCACTGATGCAGTGTCATTTCTTTCATCGCCGATACCTTCGTTTTTACCTTCTGCAAAAAATGTATCCATCTCTGAAGTGATGAAATACAATGATGACCTATAAAACGGCCTCTTTTCCTCTGTGTGTGTGTCCATGTGTAGGAGAACCAGTGCAGTGCACAGCATGGTTGGGCCAGTGTATCCTCTATATCCTCATCATGATCTTTGAGAAAGTCCTTATCATGTTGGTCCTGCTCATCCCACAGTGGAAACAGGTCAGAATAAAAGAGTAAGGATTTGAAAAGATAACAAATTGTGGCCTCAGTGCCTATTAATTATCTTGTTCAATTCAAGATCAGTTCCCAGTATTTAAAAGGGCAGCAGCACTCTCCAAAGCAGGAAAGTCTGGGGAAAGTAATCTTCATTTTTCTTATCATGACAACAGGTATATGTGGACTAAACATGCTGCTTTGTCAGCTGTCATGAATTGTCTTGTTTGCTTCACTGGAAAATATTTGGTGGATTGTGTGTTAGTTTGTTCAAAACAAAGAATATTTTGCCAGGTTTGATTAGCAAAACAAATAACAGGAGTGCCTTTCTAAATATTGCACAACATGCTCACTCATTTAAAGTCCAACAGAAGAGAAATGGTGAGAGTGGTCAGTAAACCAGAGCAGTCAACTTCCTAAAATAATTATTGAATTATCAAAGATTGTCATAGACCTGAACTGACACACTTAGATTCAAGATTCAAGATTTTTTATTGTCAATTCACTATATGTGCAGGACATGCAGACATACGGGCATGGGCATATGATATACAGGACATGGGCATACGAGCTCTATGTTTCTGATGAGCAGTCACCGGCCACATCAACTTGACCAGTGTTTGATTGTTTGTTGTGCCTTTTGTTGGCTGGATATTGATATAAGGCTAGTGTATCGTTTGTGTGAGTGCAGTAGTTTTGGGGGTCTGGCAGGCAATGCTAAGATTCTTTATTCACTTATATGTGAACGGAGAGGTTATTAAGCCATCGTTCTTATAGCCGAAAGCCAGTTTTACCCAGCAAACTGAAGTACTTACCATTCTTCATAAGATAGGTCTGGTGACAGTCATCTGGAATCCATATGTGCAAATGTATCCCTTAATGTCTAAGACACTGTACTGTTTGCTATCCATTGTACAGAAACTTCACACGGTAAGGTGTTTCCTCACTGGATGATTTCCCTTCGATGGGATGTTGCCTGCAGTTGCTTTAGTGCCTAATGAGGAAGTGACCCCTGACCGGGAACCAAACCTAGGCCGTAGCAGTGAAAGAGCCAAATCCTAGCTACTAGACCATCAGGGACATCTGCTGTTTCTGCGGCAGCATGCTCTCTGGAATCTCTGGCCTTTAACAGTTGCTGAAGTGTCACAGCCTGCCTCTAGTAGTGGTAGTGGTCCAGAGAAAGACCAGTAGGAACACTACCACAGGCTATGAGTGTGATATCACAGTTCCAGCATCTACAAGCCCCTTGCAGAGATGTTTGCCATTTGAGTTAAATAGACAGGGCGAGGCATACTGTATGTGTGGAACCTGGAGTGCAGATTGATTGTGAACCAAATATCACTTTAGAAGAGGCAGTTTAAAACGTTCACAGTCCCTTCAACAAATGAGTTAATCAAATTATCATGTATGGTAAACATAGCCTTTATGTGACCTTCCATTAGCTGAACAGATACAGTCTCTCTGCTGGTGGAGTCCAAGTTGTAGTGTGTGCTTCAGTGGACTCTCCTGCTTCCATTTAAATAGGAGCGACCTTTGAAAGGCTGGGCATACTGTTTGTGCTGCTGTGTATGCTCATGTCTGTCCTTGTATGTTTGTTGTGGTGTGTGTTCGTGTTTATGGGTGTCGCAGCTGGCTCTTCTCAACCCCATAAAGAATCCTGCCCTGGAACTGGCCATCGTCATGCTCATCGTTCCGTTCTTCATCAACGTAAGTCTGCTGTTCCTATGTGTTTTTTGTGTACCTTGATTCTGTAGCTCTTGCAACACCAATACTACCTGTGTCTCGGTTACTTAAATCATGCCTGTTTGTTTATACTATGGCCATTGTCTTGTGTGTGTGTATGAATGTAAAGAAATGTTTCCAGTTTTGATTAATTGCTGCTTTCACACCTTAACAAATGTCATTCACTAAAGTGTTCTCTGTGTTTTCTTTAGGCCCTCATGTTCTGGGTGGTAGATAATTTCCTAATGAAGAAGCACAGGACAAAAGCAAAGCTAGAGGAGAGAGAGGAGGACATGGGGGGGAACAGCAAGGTGCGGTACAGACGAGCCCTGTCCCATGATGATTCAGAGTCAGAGGTAAGTGTCACTATGGTAATACAGCTGTAGGATGCACCGGACATAAGGAAAGAAAATAATTTTAAAATAACAGCTAATAATAATGTTTTAAAAAAATAGAGATAGTAAAAGAACCAGACATTGCCTACTTGTGAGACTTGACAGAAGCTGGTATCACAGCTTTCCATGCTGTACTTTCTGCACTGTAACTGCTGGATTTCAGTTTCAGACCTTTTATTTTGTCTTTTTGTTCTTATCTCATTTTAACAATGTTTTCTCTTCACTTTGTCTTAACTGATTTTATTCTGGGTTTATGCTTATTGCTTTTAATGCTGTTACTGTTTTTCCTTGCCTCTATAAAGCATTTTGAATCACCTCTGTATGAAGTGTGCTATATTAATAAAGTTGCATTGCCTTGGTAATGAATCGGCTCCTCGTAACTCAAACACGCTTCATTTCCCTTTCAGCTGCGCTAAGCGTGTCACATTGTTCTTCCTGTGGTTGGATAATGAGACACAGATGAGAAGTATAGGTCAGACTGGAGTCAACAGGAAGTAATCTGTTGAGCAGGTTTTGGTTTTCTATTGCTCATCTGTGAATGCAGCTATGCAGTGGGTCAGTGGCGCAATGGTGACTACGGATCAGAAGATTCTAGGTTTGACGCCTGGCTGGCTCGAAACAGTTTTGAAGTTATGCCCACCACTGACCTATTTAGTTTACCTGAATGAGTGATGCAGGTTGAAATGGCATTACTGTGTTGGTCTGAAGTCAATAAAGCAGAAACAAGCTAGACACAGTCCAAGACCAGATGTGTGTCAAATAGTTGAATTTGGCAGAGTGGTCAAGCGAGTGCCTCTATCAACCCAGATTGTGGCCTTTCCTCCAGCAGTCTGACTGTAAATAGTGGATTTTTCATCCTCATCTTGGTCGCTTTCATCTTTTAAGATCAACACCTTCAGGACCAGTTTGTGTTGAATGTTGTTGGAACAGATGTGCAGTGACTCCCCCTCCCAGGAGGAGCACAGCACACTGTAGCCTTTAAATGATTTTTGCCCACTTCTTCATTTATGGAAAAACTCAGTAAATTCAGTATCACACTGGGAGAAGTGGAAACCCATGTTCAGTTTTCATTTTGCTAACAGACGAATTATACCTAAAACAATCTAACTGCTTTATTTCTGAAAGCAGGCTGTGTAACGGTGTTCATTTTGTTATAAATGGTGGTAGTCTTTTAACATGTGAATGGCCAAACTAGTGCAGACAAAGACTAGCTTCATGGTTTGTTTCACTTCCTGCTTTGTGCTACAGCTGCCCTCAGAAAGCAGTGGGGGATGGGCTGAGCTTTGCTAAAACATTATTGGTTTCAGTGGCAGTAAGGATGTACTGTGCGCCAGTGGTGCAGTGGATAATGTGTCAGGCTACAAATTAGAAGAGTCTAGGTTCTGCTCGGGTTTCTGGTTTCACCATGTGCATGCTGGAATGATTGCAATATTTTTGGGCTCAAATGCAGCAGTAGGTGTTGTCAAACATCCAAAGAAGTAATTACTCTGAATCTGAATGTTTTTATTACCCAACCTGAATATTGCAAAGGTAGGGCAGTTTTCTTCACTTGTGTGAGGCTGCAGTATGCCTTCATAATGTTAACCTGCCTCCCACACATGCTATGGGAGCCCTCATATGTTTTTGTCTTTCTTCTGTTTCTTAGATCCTTTTTTCAGCAGATGATGAAATGGATGATTCAGATGAGGATGACGTTCGTCGACTCACTGGCCTGAAGACGGTGAAGAAGAAGAAGCTTCGCATGGGGATCCCCATTTGACCTGTGTGAATAGCTAAAGTGCTACAATAACTTTTCCTCCGGTAGCTCTGCACTGCACAGGTCCACATATGGTACATTCCCACTAACTCTTCAGACTGTGTGATATCAACCTTAGGAGTTGACACAGTCTTCTCAAAGATTGATGCCAGAAGTTAAACCATACCTGAGTTCCCTTTACTGTTGACTTCTGGAGGACCTAACCTGGGGATTAATTTAACACACTGGGAGATTTCTTTTGCTGTTAAGCAGGTACTGGGAATCACAGTTGCATTGTGGTGTGGCGACTGTTGTATTTAAGACACTGGGAAAAGTGATTCTGCTGTTAAACATTATACTGTTAAAGCCTTTATGTGAGTGTAATAGGAAAAAGGTAACACTAGTTTAAAAACATTTTGGACTTCACTGACTGTGTGTCTGTTACTGTGATGCAGTGGTCCAGGATCAGGTTGGTTGGACAAATCTAAAAGACCACAATGGAACCAAACATCATGCAAACAACTACCCACAGAGTTCAGTACATTTCATCCTCTGAGTTCTCTAAAGTGATTATATTCCTAATGTGCATTACCTGTAAACTTTGTCCTTATGATTTCTCATGTAGACGTATTACCATGGCCTGTGGTGTGTGTGTGTGTGGGTGTGTGTGTGTGTGAGAGAGAGGATGTTTCCAGTTGAACACACCTCAAATTAAGAGGAGAATTATGTCAGTGTTTGAATGGCCGACAAACACTTTGCAGCACAGTTCCACACTTTATTACTGTATATCTTGTATGTGATGTTACTCATGTCAGAGGAAGCACGTTGGTGTTTGCAGCAACCTTCCATTTTCATCTTTTGGGAGTCCTTTCAAATGGTTAATCTGGAGGACTGCACTTATCACACTGCACCATCCTTCATTTCAGCATCACCTCAGCCAGTGTTGTTTGTCTGAAGACTGCAGTTTGTCTGTGACTGTTTTACTGATGTGCTTTGACTGTGTTCTTTGTTTTTGAATGTCTTGTGTCTCATTTCAAGTTGTTGGGTTTTTAAATGTTATAGGTTTTGAGTGTTATTTTCAGGCCAAAAAGGTGACTATGCTTGTTCCAAAAGTCTTTATTCCTTCACCCCAACAGGGAGCATAGATATGGGAACAATTTCTTGCACAATGTCCAGTTTATCACAGCTTCATCTGTGACTTATTTGTTTTGTTACAATGATGGGCCTGAGTGAAATTACCAGCAGGTGTTTTGTTTTGTTTTTGTTTTCTTGAATGTTTTATCCTGAGCTCCAGATCTTCAGACATTAAGGCCCCATTCAGCAGGCTCTGATGTTAAGAATGTGACATGCATAGACCTCTAAACTGTTAAGTGACTGTGCACCACACAGTTAAGAAAAAGGGCGTGCGTGTGTGTTATGTGTGTGCATGCCACTTTATATATACAGTATACCTGGATGTATGGGCTTGTGCTGGATGCACATGTGCAGTTTGTGTGAGGGTCCTCTTTAAAGTACAGTGCTGCTGAGGATTTCATTATAATGTTTAAGCATGTTGGCAAGGAATAAATGACTGCATTTCAAAGGAGGAAGGTACAAATGTGTGCCAAAGTAATGGTTACTCTGAACTCAGGCTGGACAAAAGGAGATTTAGTAATTTGCAGTGAGACAACTTGATGAGTAAAAAGGTAATGGAAGTAAATGGTCATTATAAAATGCCTTTTCAAGTACATGATACACAAAGTTGAGTTATTTATGTTTAAACTTGTAAAATGAAGCTTAATGTTGTAAAGGAAATCATTCCCTGACTGGGAAATGAACCGAGGCCACACCAATGAGAGTGCCAAATCCTAACCACTGGACCATTAGCGAGATTGATGCCACCATCAGCTTCTGAGCTCAAAAGCAAATTGTCCCTGTCTTCTTATAATTTTTAAGGTTGAGCGTGTGTGCAAAAATAATTGTGGGCATTGATTATGATTATTATTATATACTACTAAAAGTAGTGCTTTGACACACACAACAAATTTGTGTTCTGTTGTAAATGGAGTCACCAGACCTACAGTCAAGGTTAAGATTTGAGTATCCAGAAATAGATCTAGCTAATAAGCTACTTATACCTTCTTGCATATACTTGTAGGAATGCAGGTGCACATTTAGGTCTGGAGTCATGTTCGTACAGGCTTTTAAAAAATATATTACATCCACATAAATGTCAATCTTCCATTTGTCAGTTTCACTGTTTCACATCCCCTGCCTGGCACAACATAGGCCTGTCATTTGTTGTTTTTCTCCCCCTCCGCTAGGCCTGTTATGATTTTAAAAGCCAAGCAGAGCTCAAGTACAGGTTGCAGTACCATAGTTTGATTTGGAGTAGATAAATACACACTTGTACTACAAGGATCTCCTTGTGTTGCTCATTACCTTAAACCTTGCACATGGAAAGGCTTCATAAGCTCCTGCACAAACATATGATGACTAATATAGCAACACTGACTAGATTCAGTAGGACCAGTCATTATGACTGACTAACCTCTGTTAGTTAGAGACTATCTTAGCACTGTGATGTTCAGTGCTTGAATTGCTTCAGTGGGTGTGCCGGCTTTCAGATCAGGATTCTCTCTGGCATTGAGTTTGTTGCTTTAAAATAGTGAGTCAGTTTGCCCGTCATCACACAGTTAACACCTCAGTTTCAGATTATGATGCCACGTCTCATGACTACTATTGCCTTATCTGTTTACCTACTTGTATTTTAGTCAAGAGACTAAAATACCTTGTCATCAAACGTACAAAATGTAAGTAGAAGAACATCTTAAAGGGAGAGTCACTTATGCAATGCACATTTTATATATATAAACCTGCTAGCTCTGATTGTTTTGTCCCCTTAGCTCTCTTCCTGTTTTAGCCCTCATTTTGTGCTGGAAGCGCTTTATTTATTTATTTATTTATTTACTTATTTTTGCAAAACCCAAAACATACATTTCCTTGGGTTCAATAGTCTTTGAACAAAAATCAATAATTATTGAAAGTGAATAAAAATAATTTAAGATATGAAATTCAAAGACTATTGTCTCAAAAGAAATTCCATAGCAGAGTCCCAGATTCTGGAGCTGCAGGGAGATATTACCAGGTGGTCCCAATACGAACTTTTAAAAAAGAGATCCTCTCTGCCAGGATCAGTAGGGGAGGAGGAGGCAGACAACCATTTGTGGTATGCCCTGAATTATCAGCTGTTGGCCTGTAAGCTTATCGTAGAATATGGGAGACCTATTCCATCTGTACCGCCCCTCACGTCACACCTAATAATACACACTGACAACAGGCAGAGTGGGACAGAGGGTAGAGGGTCTGAGTGACTCACTGGGTCTGGACCAAGGTTATATATAATGTCAGGCTTGTTTGGAGACAAAGACACACACTAGAATAACAGCCAGTAAGTCTATCACAGTAGAAAGTCTGTGGGGCCAACACAGCAACTTTAACCACCATGTCACAGGTGAGTTAAGTCATGTCAAATTATAGTGCTTCAGGTGTGGAGCCAGAGTGCCAGCACCCTTTACTTTGCTTTTTGTTTTTTTACCCTTGGTATTCATGTTCCCTTCCCTTCTTTTTTCTCCGTTCCAGCCAGGCGAGGTAAAGAAGAAGAAGCGTCCCCCGATGAAGGAGGAGGACCTGAAGGGAGCCCGCAGTAAACTGGGTCTAAAGGGCGAGGTCAAGAGTAAGACCTATGAGGTCATGGTAGAGTGTGGTGAGTAATATCTTTTATTAATGATGTTTCCTCTGACACTAAAAAGGCAACTGATGTACAGTAACACCCTGTAAAATGTTTTGCCTTTTCATTCTTGAGTAATGTGATCTATTATTAACATCTATTATTCATATACTGTATACCCATTTCATTGTGTGTTTGTTTTTGATTTGACAGGCGTTTGTATATTTATTGTATTTATTACAATATGTATTCGGTTATTTCTGTATCCCAGCATGCATTTATCTATAAACTGTATGTTTTGATTAGCAACACAAATGTTATCCTCCATAATCTGGTGGGACAAAGCTGACCCGTTTACTTTCCGCTCACAGTATTATTCCAGCTCTACCATGTTTTTATTATTAACATAAAAATGTTCAGTCACTGAAGTGTTAATAATACGAGATCCCTGACTGGGAATCGAACCTAACTTATGGCAGTGCAGGTGCCAAATCCTAACCACTAGACCACCAGGGACATGTGGTAGTACTATAGAGCCGACAGTTGTTGAAGTGTCGCAGCCTGCCTCTAGTAGTGGTAGTGGTCCAGAGAAAGACCGGTAGGAACACTACCACAGGATATGAGTGTGATATCACAGTTCCTGTTCTTAACTTGACAATAGATGGCAGTAGTCTAGTCTAGTACAGCATCTACAAGCCCCTTACAGAGATGTTTGTGAGGTAAATAGACAGGGCGAGGCATACTGCATGTGTGGAACCTGGAGTGCAGATTGATTGTGAACCAAATACCACTCACTTCAAAAAGGGCAACTTTAATTGTCATAGTGCACGTTAGCTCACTATCACTAGAGAACTACATTTAAACAAGAAATCACTGCCCAGTGGTATGGCATTGGTATTGTATACCAAAGATTATGAGTACAGGCCCCATCCACCTTTCAGTATGTATCTGGCTTCTTTAGTCTAGAAAAAAAACATGTCTGTTAAGTGAACTAGTTATGTTATGTTCATATGACTTTTGTTTGTTGTGGAGTCGTTTTTACATTGTGATGTTTCCTTTCATGATGTAAGCTATATGATCTGACTGCCTCTTCCACCACTGAATATTCTATGACCATACCTGTTTTACTTCAAACCCAGTGACCTCTAAGTACTGATAGTTTGACCAAATACATGAGATGTTGCACATTACAGACAGATATGTTACATTTTCTAAATACAAATTTTCATGTACAGTATATGGTGCAACACGTTTGCTGTGTCCAGGCTAAAGCTTGTTGTGGGTTTTGCCAGATTTGAAGACCAATTTAGCTGGAAACAACATTTTTGCAAGTTTTCTCCACACAATAGACTACTATCCATCAACAGACTAAGTTTGTTCTTGCTCATATTATATTTTATCTGTTCTTAACCTACTTCTGGAACACTGTTTAAATGCCTTGTAACCCTCTAGCTTGCTGTAGCTAACACCATCCGAGCTGGAACTGAGCACCACTGCTTACTGTAAAATGAATCAGAGCACTTGTTGCAGAAGTGTTTGTTCTCACATGCTTCCCTCAAAAGACATGAGTGGAGTTGCTATCACTGTTTTGAGCATTTGTTTTTCCTGACCATACACATTGTCTCTTTCTGTGCTCAGAACGTATGGGCAAAGTGGCTCCATCTGTGTTCAGTGGTGTGAGGACTGGGACAGAGACGGCGCTGGACAAGCCGGCTGCTGCTGCTAAAGCTCCTGGGGCCAGTGTGTTCAACAAGTAGACGCACTGACAGACACAAATATGTAGCAATGAAGAAACATACTGCAGTCTTTAAGGTTCTGAGTTTTACAACATAAAAAGAAATGCAATGTGTGTTTCCTTTTTCTTTTTTCTTTTTTTTATAAATCAAAAGTTAGTGGAACTGAAGAGAGATAAGTGGGCTAGATTTATGCAAGTAGTGTGTGTTGACATTACTGCTATGTAAACAGTCAGTGTACTTCGTAGTTTGCACAGTGTATCACACTTTGAGAATAGCCTAGGTCTGAATTAATGTGGCCGATGAGCTGTAAATGTTCACAAATATTTTTAAACATTTGCTTGTTTGCTCTTTTTTTTACCTGACCATATTTCCTAAATAAATTATTTTCCCCTTTATGTGTGTGTGTGTGTGTGTGTGTGTGTATAATTTTTTTTAAGTTGATCCTGGGCTTGAAATGAGCACATATGCAAAGAGTGATTGCAGCAGTTAACTTCGTCAACTTCAAGACCTCTAATTCAACAGCACAATCTCAAATCAATGTAAAATGCTAAATACTCCATGTGTGCAAGCAAAATAGAGTAAAGGGCATGTAGCTTCTGTTTGCTCTCATATACAGATACTGCAGGCATATGATGGTCAATCCTGGTCTTATTGGTAATAGAGATACTACTGTAGCTAGCTTATGGGCAAGACATTGAACCCACAAGTAGCCCCCGATGGTTGGAGCCATCGGTGTGAGTTGGCTGCAGATGGCTGCCTCGGTTCTGTGCCGTAAACAAAGTCCTTGTGTGTAACATACTTGGCCGAATAAAGGTGATTATACTAATGTTTCTCAATTTCTGCGAGATGTGCACCCAGTTGCTAACACTGATTGCCGCATTAGCTTAGAAGGTGATAATATGCTGGATGTATACCACCAAGCCATCTTAAAGCCTCAGCTTAGTAAAATCCAGTTTCAATGCATTTATTGTTTTAGAATATACTGTGCCTTCATGCAATGTACTAAACATGTACTAAAATAAAATTGGACTTAACAGTTATTACAAACAGCTGCTGATTTCATTCCCCTTTACCCACCTGGTGATCACTCAGCAAATAAGTGCAGAGTACAACCCAGCTTGTCCAAGCAGGAAAATTATCTTATCTGTTCCGATCAGTCAGAGATGGTTTAGGCTACTACAAATATGCAGCTAAAGTTTGGTTGTTAAAGTTAAACCTGCATTTGTCCCCTGGATTGTTTGAGTCTGATCGCAGTGTTTTCTGTGTCTAATGATGGACAGATTTGCTTTTAAAGACAAGCAGTCACGTTTATTTGTGTAGTCCAGTATCACATTACAGTGGTCTGATTCACCTATGTCTGTTTTTTTTTCCCTTAACATACAAAAGAGGGTTCTGATTCACCTATGTCTGTTTTTTTTTTCTCCTTAACATACAAAAGAGGTTGTTTTTTTTTACAGAAGAAGACAGAAATTATTGTTTTTTGGCAACAAGAAGGAAATAATGAAAGTTACTGTTCAGCTATAAAGGTGTCATAATTGACTCAGACCTGAGCTTCAGCAGTCACATCAAATAGCAAGACACATTATTTGGGATTGTGGACTACACAAGATTTGGAGCAACTCATTCACACCTTCATCTCCAGCAGGGTGGATTATTTCCCGAAAAGAGTACAAGGCAGCTTCTGTTCATTGCTCATCACTGCTGCCAGTTTTAACAGGAGCCATCACTCCAAATATTTACACTAGCTACCAGTTATCTTCAGATTCGATTTTAAAGTCACCCGGTGCAATGGGGCCAAAATACAGTTCTGATTTCTTTGAAGAACACAAACCCAGTAGGGCTCTGGGATCCTTAGGGTCAGAACCAAACAGGGTGAAGCTGCTTTTAGCTACTATGCTGCACACAGATGGAACCAACTTCCTGGTGACCTTCAATGTGCCCCAAGTCTGCCACTTTCAAGTCCCAACTGAAAACTCTGCTGCTTTTTTGTGCCTTTGATAAAGTGGTTTCTAAGCTGCACTTTGTTTATTATGTTGCATTTGGGGCAACCTACAACTTATTATTGCCCTGTAAGTGCAAGATATTCATGCTTGTCTGTTTGTTATTATCTTAAATGTATATATTTTATCTTACTTTTTATCTTATCTTAACTGACTTTATTCTATTTTAAGGCTGCTAATGTTTCTCTTTGCCTGTGTAAAGCACTTTGAATTGCCTCTGTGTATGAAATGTGCTGCCTTGCCTGCATATCTCTTATCTATTTAAATATATTGACATGGTATACTTACTTTTTGTTATAAACTGTGTGGAACAAAACACATCTTTTGAGCTGACCGGTGTGACATAATGTGCTGTAACTGACCAGGAATGATCTCCAAACACCAAAATAACACTTTTGGTATTACTACTTGGTGCTTTTATATTTTCCATCAGAGCTGAGGTTCTGGGTGTGCAGCTTGTCATGCTACCAATGTCTAATTAGGTATAAGTTTGGAGTCAGTCCCACAGACATTCACACACTTGCGGCTTGAGTTTGGACCTTTTCTTTATTGCAAGCTCCAGTGTTTGTAAGTGATGACATCTTGTGCTTTGAGCTCTGGTCTGTCGGTCAATACCCCGTGTGTGTCACACATGCACACACTTCATGTCCCTCCTTCTGGTCAGAGAGCCTTTTTCTCAGCAGTGAAGTCAGACAGTGTTCAGTGGAAGTTTGGTCATGTCTGGACTGCTGGGTGTTCGACTAATGCTGCTGTGGGGCTTTGCCTGCCTCTGGCTGGCTGGCACGACCAGGGGGGCTCTGGTCGTCTCTGGGAACCCAGATGCTCCACAGGTAACTTTGCACAGTGACCTTTTCTGTAATTTTGATTTGAAATGTTTAATAGTTGCAATTTAAATTTGCCAGTAATCATTTTGTTGGGTGGTTCTGAATGTAACCAGTTCTCATATACTGTCTTTAACACAAACTGTTATTCTTAATTTGCAACATTCATTTGACTTCTAACTTTTCCTGTTTGCACTTTACTGAATGTAAAGTTTTTCTTAGAAGCTAGTTAATCCTAATATCTGGCACCAGGTTGGTTTACTCTGCTGTATTTGTATTTCAGGAGCCCAGAGGAGCTGCCAGATCTCTGCAGGTATTTGGCAGAAACTGTTCACACACAGACGGTCTCTTCATGTCTTGTTCTGAAGCCTCTTTCTGCTTATACACATTCACCAAAATGTTGGTTCATACTAAATATCAGTGTCACTGAATCATAGTTACAAAACTTAAATCTTCACATAAAAGCAAGACTATTTTAAAAGTGTTAAAGAGTTAATGCACATACATTATACAGTATAACATATTATTAAATTGGATAAAGCATTGGCTGCAGCTGAAATTGCCAAATTTGCACAGTTCTAAATGTTTATTCTCCAAATCTAAAAATAATATCATGCTTTTGTTGTGTTTGTTTTGTAGAGAAGAAGTACAAGTGACACAAAGGTAAGATGAGTCCTCTGTTTGTATCTATATTTATGATAATCATGATGAGAAATATTCACTTCAAAATAAAACAAAAACACAAGAAAACAACAAAACAAAAAAGAAAGAAAACATAGATATGCCTTACACAGACCAAAGGGGCGTAGGCTGAAGCTACAACTTATTAACACCAACCCCCTGTTACCCAACCCCGCCAATAAAACATGCTGCACCAGTCATTACAACAAAAGCAACTGTCGCTTGATAAGTGTGGTGCATGTCTTAGTACAGCTGTTTCATAAATTCACCCCTCTGACTGAAATACAGTGATTTTTGACATTGGTTCTTATCCGCTGTTGTTCAAAGACAGACGTTCCTCTCAAATCATATTGATTTTGTTTCATTTTAAACAACCTTTGGATACTTTGTGACAGTTACCAATTTTTACCTTATACATATTTTATATATTTTTGTAAATCTACATCTTTAAATTTGAAAGTGTTTAGTTGTTTAAAATAACAACTAAATAACGAAGAAGAATAACAGAACTGAATTATAACCGGTTAAGATGCTTAGACTGCTTAGAGCCACCGTCACCCAGATTGACTCATCACAACACTCCCAAAGTGGAATCAGTGACATTATGTTCAAGCTATTATTATTTTGTTTGCCACCATTCAGGTCAGCACACTGTGGGCTGGACCCAGCTGCAAAAGTCCTTCAAAATGAACTCATAGTGCTTCACTGTATAAAAATCATATTTGAGAAACCCTTGTATTGTAAGGCTTCCCACAGTCATAGTGTTTGTGCCTTCTCATCTTCTCTTCTGTCTCAGGTGGAGGTGAACAGTGTCGTAGTGGACTGCACAGTGACGTCTCGTTTCGCCCACACCGTCATGACCTCTGTGGCGCTGAACAAAGCAAACTCCTCCCAGGAAATCTTCTTCGAAGTGGAGCTGCCCAAGACCGCCTTCATCACCAACTTCAGCATGTCAGTCTGTCGCCATTCTGATTTTCACTCTGTCCACATTGAACCATTTCTGTGTGACAGCATTCATCCCTGCTTTCTTTCACAGTTGAGCTCTAATGCCGCTTTTTCTTAGCAATACAGTCAGTTTACTTTCCAAGTCATTCTCCATGCTTGTGCCTCACAGGGAGATTGAAGGTGAGGTGTATGCTGGGGAGGTGAAGGAGAAAGAGAAAGCTAAGAAACAGTATGAGAAGGCTGTTTCCTCTGGACAGACTGCTGGAATAGTCAAGTGAGTCAGTCAAGATGAAAGAGACGTAAACCCAGTATTGCACAAACACCCACATTCAAAGCAATACATCTACATGTTTATGAAGACCTCAAATTGACCATATTAACATTATAAACTGTCTGTTTTATTCCAGGGCCGTTGGGAGAAAGATGGAGAAGTTTTCAGTGTCTGTCAATGTTGCAGCCAAAAGTAATGTGACCTTCATTCTGACCTATGAGGAGCTGCTGGAGAGGAAACTGGGCCAATATGAGATTCTGATTCGAGTTAAACCCAAATCACTGGTCCACCGGTTTCAGGTGAATCCATGTTCACGGTTAAATGCTATTTTATGATGATTTCAGATGTTCTAAATATGTTTTACCTCACAGATGAGCTTTGTCTGTACCCGTGTGTGTGTGTGTGTGTGTGTGTGTGTGTGTGTGGAGATAGATTGTGACAGACATCTATGAGCCTCAGGGCATTGCTTTCCTTGATGCCCATGCAACCTTCCTCTCCAATGAGCTGCTCCCCCTGGTGGAGAAAACTGTAACAGACAAAAAGGTATGTAAGCATAAGCATAAACTTTATTGCCAAGTATTATCAAAAATACAAGCAATTTGAGTCCAGCTCAGTGTGGTATAAAATGTCTTCAAAACTTCTAAACTGATTTTGGTTTCCCTTCCTTTTCTTTTAGTCAAATGATTGACCCATGAATTAGGAGGAAGCTAAAGTTAATGTACTGTATGTATGTATCCCCTTGTCAGGCACACATCTCTTTCTCGCCAACTATGGAGCAGCAGCGAAAGTGTCCAGATTGTGATGGAACGATCATCGATGGAGATTTTATTGTCAAGTATGATGTGAATCGAGAGCAGAGTCTCGGGGACATTCAGGTCAGTTGTCAATAGCAGTCCTTAGTATCTACTGAGTGCACGCACAAAACGGCACAGAGTCCCTCTTCCATTCTTTGTTTGGATGTTCTGCAATGGAAAATACTGGATGAACCTGTCATCACTCAACAAGAAATGCTGAAAAGTTTTCAAGTATTCTTTCATGTAAATCACTGGTGTTGATGATTCTCTTCCCTTCAGATTGTGAACGGATACTTTGTGCACTTCTTCGCGCCTCCTGACCTGCCCAGAGTCTCAAAGAATGTGGCGTTTGTGGTTGATAGGAGCGGATCAATGAGTGGAACAAAAATGAGACAGGTGAGAGACTCTTCATTTTTCTTGTATTTTAGTGCATTAATTTTATATTATTGTATTATCTTATATGTATTTTGTCTTACTTTATATTCTCACCAGTCACTTTATTAGGCACACCTGTTCAATTGTGTGCCACACTCCCTCCTTAACATCTGGACTACATTATATTTTTGGCCTGCCCAGCTGCAAACATGAGAGGGTCAGAATATTAGGAACATCTCTGAATATAATGTCCAGTCCAGTACAACACCACCTTTAACTATGACCTTGATAATAAACATATAATTGAATTTATACATTTATGACAATTTCATCTAAAAACGAAACATTTTGAGCTTCATAAACACAAATGTTAAGGCAGAAGTGCTGAGGTACACACAATTGTACAGGTGAGTTTATATCTATTTATTTATCCATCTATATGTATACACACTAATTTATTTTATTGATCCCCAATCACTATGTCCATAACAAAGTTTGATGATGATGACGATGTGGTTTTAATTTATTGATTCCCACATGCACACATTTTGAACTCTGATCTTGTAACTCTCTGTAGACACGAGAAGCATTGCAGGTCATCCTGGATGACCTCTACGAGGAGGACTACTTTGCTCTCATCCTGTTTGATAGTGACATCATATCCTGGAAGGACTCACTTACCAAAGCAACCAAGGAAAACGTGGCTGAAGCCATAATCTACGTCAAAAATATAGAAACAGGAGGAGGTTAAGAGAAAAACAAGTGACACCATGCCAAGTGTAGTTCTTGCTCCTTAGACCATAGAGGTACACTCTTATACTACACGTTGTATAGTTTGCTATGTGTTTTCCTTTTAGTAACCAACATCAATGATGCACTGTTGCTTGCTGTGAACATGCTGGACAAAGACAGGCGGGAGAAGAGGCTCCCTGAGAGGAGCATCGACATGATTATTTTACTGACTGATGGAATGCCAAATTCTGGTGAGCATCTACAGCGTGAAAATACTGTAGTATATAGCGCATAATTATTTGAGTGCACATTTGCTCTATGTACTATATAGTGAGCATTAAATCTGTGCATGTTTTATCTGTGGATTTGAAGGAGAGTCTGACCCTAGGAAGATCCAGGAAAACGTTCGTGCTGCAATTGGAGGAAGAATGTCTCTGTACTCTCTTGGATTTGGATATGATGTGGACTATTCCTTCCTGGATGTGATGTGCCAACAAAACAAAGGATTGGCCCGCAGAATATATGAAGCTTCAGATGCAACACTTCAACTCCAGGTGGAGGATTTAGGCTATGAACACATTTCTGAGCCAACAGACTGATTTTTCTACATTAAAATAATTTCCAGCTACATATATCACATTCATCCACAGTTTTGCAAAATCCAGCATGTGTATACATTTATTCCAGGGTTTCTATGAGGAGGTGTCCAGCCCTCTGCTCTTGGACGTGGACCTGCGTTATCCTGACAATGCAGTGGAATTCTTAACCACCAACCACTTCAACCAGTTGTTTAATGGGTCGGAGATTGTGGTGGCTGGTCGGCTGAAGGACGACCAGATAGACAATTTCTTGGTTGAAGTGTTTGGCCAGGGGGTGAGTAAAAGGAAAAGGCAGATATTCTGAGACAATGCTGAGATAGAAAAAAGACACGCATGTCTATAATTGCTATAATTTTCTTGTTATTCTTTCCCCCTGTAGTTTGAGGATGACTTCACAGTGCAGGGCCAGGCCAGTGCTGTGGACTGGGACGTGATGTACCCAGATGAGGAGTACATCTTTACGAATTTTATAGAGCGTTTGTGGGCCTATCTCACCATCCAGCAGCTACTGGACAAGGGGTCAGTTTGAATCCTGACACTCGAGCTGAGACCTGAACAACCCGAAAATGTTCATTTCTTGCTATCACATAAAAGTCTTTGCTAAACATACTCCTTGGCCATCACATGGCCATTTGTGTGAAATGTTTAGACATTTGAATGAAGTATTGTAAAATAAATTTAAAATTTCCATTCCCTAATGGTCTGAATGCCAGTATCATTTGTGGCAACATGAGTATATTTTCCTTCTCACAGCAAGATTGGTGACCCAGGCGATAAAGCTAACGCCACAGCCAAGGCACTGGACATGTCTCTATATTACGGCTTTGTCACACCTCTCACTTCCATGGTGGTTACCAAACCTGAAACTGAGGACGGAACAGAGAGCCCTCTCATTGCAGAAAAGCTGACTGAGGGTAAGGGAAGAAAGAGATGGTTAAGAAAGTGATTTTGGAAAAGGCTTGTTGAAACATGACTACAGTCAATCTTTTCCTGCTGTAATCACAAGCAGGACTGGCTACTGGACTCATGTTTTAAACCATTATTTCTCTTTACTCAACTCTGCTGGTGCAAAACTGTCAAATCTACCAAGGTGTTTTTGTTCATTTGTCTTTTTACAGCCCAAAGAACACAGCCAGGAATATCAGGTAAGCCAGTCATGTTTATCATATGGAATAATTTAAACAAAGTTCTCAGACACCATCAAGTCTTTTTAGCAGGTGTGTAGGATCAAGTGCTCAGTATTCATTCATTCATTCATTCATTTTCTACCGCTTAGTCCCTCAATGGGGTCACGGGGGGGGGCGCCAGAGCCAATCCCGGCCGGTACTCGCACGAAGGCGGGGTCCACTCTGGACAGGTCGCCAATCCATCACAGACCTTTGACTTTGTAACCCAGTACAGTTTTGTCTAAGCTTTTATATCCAAATATTGTTTACAATATAACAGTGTGATAACTCCAGGAGATGTACATTTACACCTGTGATTGTTCCTGGGTGATACTGGTTTCATCACCTTTTTAACTATTGCTGCCATGGTAAAAAATCCTGATAATTTAGTATTCTGTTTTAAATTGCAGGAATCCTTTAGGCAGTAGTTTGACATTTTGGAAAATAAATACTCCTATTTATTTTGTTCCTGAGATATACATAAGAAAATCAGTACAATTTTCACATCTTTATGGTTAATGTGAAGCTACAATCACCAGTCAGTCAAGTGCTTAGTACTGTAAGCAAAAACAAAATGATCATCACTTGTACTCACTTTAATATCATATCGACATTTCGATCCACAGACTTTCATCAAGATTTTTTTATTTTTGTCTACCATATTAAAAGAGAGATTTAAGGGGTCAAATAAACTCAGTGTTGCTTTCAACTTGAATTGTATTGTTCTTGTATCTAGGAACCTGGGCTGTACCTGCATCGTACCAGTATTCAACGTACCAACCCGTATATGTTGGTAAGGTATTTTTAGCAGTGCTAGCTGCATAGCTCTAGGGATGGTAGTGTCGGTCTGTCAGTTGGTGTCATTTTGTACAAACATTCATGGTGCTCAGAAGATGAGTCCTAATGATATTGGTAATCCCCTGACTTTTTACTGAACACCACTTACCAGTCAAAATCTTTACCTATAAGTGAAATATCTTGCTACTAATTTTTGTACAGATGTTGATGGTCCTCAGGCTATAAACCCTGTTGAGATGATGCTTTGACTTTTCATCACCATGAGCTTCACATTTTTGGTTTTGTGAGAAATGTTTTCACATGTTATCATGGAGACTTTTCCTCAGCAATTTAAAGTTGCATGTTTGCATAATGATGTTAGCATTTAGCTCAAAGCACAGACTCGCAGAGCTGTTAACATGGCTGTAGACTCCCTTCTGACTCTGTAGAGTCTTGTTTACAGGTTATCAGCATGTTGAGCCAATACCTATTATATAAAGCATAATCATTTTGTTTATTTCTGTCATTGTACTCTGGTGTCACCTGCAGTGGATGGAGATCCTCATTTCTTGATAGAGCTCCCCAACAGGGATGACGCTCTGTGCTTCAATATAAACGACCTACCAGGAACCATTTTCAACCTGGTCAGAGACCCGACATCAGGTCAGCTCTTGTTATCATGAATTTCTTATCCCTTGACAGGTGCAAGATGCAGCCCCTGGTGTTAGTTTGACTTTTTATGTAGGCCTGTACTTCTTGTAGACTATGAATAAAATCATGCCACATTGTTCTCTCAGGTATTTTGGTCAATGGCCAGATAATTGGCGACAAGAAAATCCCCCCCAATGGTAAAATAAACACCTACTTCTGGCGCTTTGGCATCATCCACCGAACTCTGGGGGTGGGGCTGGAGGTGAGCACTCAGGACATCTCAGTGTTCCAGGATCGCAAATATCTCAAGCTGCTGTGGTCTGATACAGCTTCTATCAAAGGACCCAAGTGAGTGGCTGCACATCACAGCTCCCTCAGTTAAAGAGAAGTAGCCCTCTACATGAATAATATACCATATAAAGTCCAGTTTAGGATGAATCATTATCATCCTCCTTCCCTCCCATTCCCTTCTGTCTCCATCAGCATGGATCTTCTTGTGACCAAGGATCGTAGCTTGACAGTAACGCTAAAAGATTCAGTCAAGTTTGTGATCCTGCTACACAAAGTGTGGGAGAAGCACCCGTACCACCGGGACTACTTGGGTTTCTACACCCTGGACAGCCACCTCTTCTCCTCCTCTGTCCATGGCCTCCTTGGTACAACATGGCACACTTATCAGGAACTATTGCATGGTTTAAGGTTTATAGCCAAACAAGAGAGGTGATATGGATAGTGTTGCTCCATGTTTGCTGGATGTGTAAACAGGAGTTCCTTTTTGAATTTGTTAGATCTTATGTTCGGTTTTTCTTTTTGTTTTTTCAAATGATCTTAGGGTACAATGTTGTTTGTTAATATTTTGTAGAAAATGAAAAAACATGGTTTCTAGTGATTACTAAACCAAAAAAGCAGATTTAGTCTGTATTAATCATCTTTCTTCATAGAGTATGAACAGAACAATGCTGCTATTACAATATAACAGAATGTAATGAAACATTTTTGCTTCAGTTGGTAATCCCCACTGGGGGAGAGATACTGAGCCAAAATGATAACATTTAAAAAACTGTTATTTGCTTTAAATGTGTCATTGCCCAGGTCAGTTCTACCATGGGATTGATTATGAAGTGACAGACCTGCGTCCAGGAGAAGTCCCAGAGAAACCAGACGCCACCATGTATGTGAAAGGACAGGCGCTCAATGTGACCAGGTACACTTCTCAGACAAGTGTGTCCCCTATCAGTATGAAAGAGTCTGCATGTGCGCTGCGTCCGAAATGCCTAACGGCTGTTATTGTCTTTTTGCACTTGAAATATTGTTTGATCTCCATGGCTGTTTCTGTCTTGATCCCCAGGGGCTGGCAGAGAGACTTCAGGAGGGATGTGAAGAACGGAGAAAATGTTCCCTGCTGGTTCATTCACAATAATGGAACAGGCCTCATCGATGGCAATGCAACAGACTATATTGTGTCAGGACTTTTTAAACGTGTTTAAAAACAGGTTACACATCAATGTATACCACGGAAATAAGCAAACTCAAACCTACATCACAAATATAATATAATATTATAACACAGCCAAAGGCAAACAGGTAACAGTGTATTTGCTGGAATTTAAAGAATGGGAAGAAACACTACCACAAAGTGACAGCCTGAGCAGTAATTGTGCTGAAATAAATGAAACTGATCTTAAAGATGGACTCAAGCTTGATTTACTCTTTTGTTTCAGTTCTGGATTACACTAAGTTTTTGCTAATGGCAGAAGTTGACAGGATGTAAAGTGGGATCCAAACTGTTTCTAGCAATGCAACTCTGATGGAAACTTTTGTTATAGTTCATATCAGACTCCTAAACCACATGTTGCCTCTTGGTGGTGCCAGGTTGGTGAAACTCTTCTTCATGGTCAAACAGTACAAAGTAAAAAGTCCCCTGTGTACCAGATGACTTTAGTACAGGAAATCGGTCACCACTTTACAGTAATTAATGTCGGTTTAACTGGTAAATTATACTTTGTGATGATATTATTAAGTGTCTCAGTGGAGAAGAAAGACAGTGATGAAAAGGTAGATCCCATGGTTTAAATAGTTTTTAGCTCTTACTTCAGAGTCAATACTCTCCAAGCACAATAGGAACTATGAGTGATGTGTACATTGACTGGTCAAACACTGAGCCAACTGCAGCTGTAACCTCCATTTTTACAAGCCTGCGTTTGTAAGGAACAGCTTTTCCACTCTGTAATAAATAAAAGAACAAGAAGAAGGAACAGCTTTGAAAAAAATGGGTAAAAAAACCAAAATGAACATATGTGGAAGTCCAGGCTTTATTATGCCTCTATGGAACAGAGGAAATTCAGCCAGATTTGGATGGATCACCTGAGCCAGCCCTAACTTTAACCTTAATATCAGGGGCCAGCTTTAAAATATCTAGAGGTAAATTGACTATTAGTATCATTGTTACTGAGCCCAGTGTTTAAAAATGAAGATATTATAAGCAGACATGCAATCAGTGGTTGTGAAATAGCCTAACCAGAGCAAAAAGCATTTTCCCTAAATAGTTCCATATTCCTTACTCTGTCAGGTTAAAGCTTTACTATCAAGTTCATTGCATTAGATGCCTGTATTTAGAGCCCTACCAGCAGGTAAAAGCTGATGAAAGTGACACTTGAGCACCTTTCTCTTGGCTGAGGACAACCTCTACATCACAAGAATGAAGGGGGCAACACTAGGCACCTGGCACAGGATCCACATCATTTCCATTGTTCACTAGAGCATTTTAAGAGCTGAAGGAAGATATAGCATAGTCTACTTTTAGCAAATATTAAATTTAGCACTTTAATGGAATATGTTTGCATCACTACTTGTTCTAGCTTTACCCTGTACCAACCTGTGGGCCCTTTCCACAGACTGGTACAGGGTACAGGGGCTGTTGTTCTTTGTTTCTTGGCCACAGGTGACAGCAGTGAGCTCATTACGACCAGCTGCGCCGCCAACCTGAGGTAAAGAAAATGCTGCACCCCAACACATAAAATGTACCTCGGGCAAAAAAGGAACAATGCTATATTGCTATTGTTTCATAAAACTAACTAGCTAATGTTTCAAAATAAGCTAAGCATAATATAGATTATGTGCTCGGTGGCCCTATAATAACATCTTTATTGTTCAATAAACTGTTTATTGACAGGTTACTGCCGACTGAACCAGAGCTCCTGCTTACCTCAAGACTGAAGATGAGCTGACACCGGCCCATGTTTAAATACAGCACATTGCTGTGGAATAAACGTGCGGGCAGAGGTGTGTCTTTTTTCCAAGAGCTAAAAATGTTCACCATGAGCTCCCTCCCTAAGTGTAAAGAACAGTGTACTGTGGCAATAACCCATAGCCTATACTACTTTAAAGCAGTGTAAGACTCTACATTTTACAAGGTGAATACTTAAAAAACCTGTGTAATGCAGTAGAATTTGATTATTAACCTCCCTTTACATGCTGCCTTACAGTTTATTGCATGTGGAAAAAAACATTATTGACAGATTATCCAAAATTAACCCATTCACAGTATGCAAGTAATGATGCAGCAGTTATATGTTGTTAAAAGGAACAAGGCATTGCTGTGCCTCAAAAGAGGTTATGGCACAATGGTGTCACTCTAGTGGAGATAAGAGGGGCTTTGTTTCTTTGGACATTTTATTTTCAGCAACAACACATCTGCTGTTCTTTAATATAAAGCCTTTATTAACAATTAAAATGCCCACACAGATGATTTCACTTGACTAGTGATTAGATGTCTCTCTGCACTATGTGGGTTTGTGTAGGCTATGGCTGTCTGGCCTTTTTCACAGCAGACATTTTGACTTGTCATAATAAGAAAAGCACAGGACCAATTACAGCAGCGATGGCTACTGTATGTTGTTCTTGTGCCAGTGAGCCTGCATGCACAATACCCGGGCCCTGAAACTGAAGCAGTTAAATGGAATTCAACCATAATTATTTTTATTATTTACGCCTGAGTTTTCTTTACTGTGCCTTGTCAAAAATATCTTTATGAAAAATGCTCCTGCTCTCCCCCACTCTTCTCATTAGTTTCACCTGTCAGCTGTTAGTATAGAATCATCAGGTCAGGGAGAAAATGAGTTGAGCTGTTTATTGTGTTTATTGTTGTTCCTAATTTCTTCTTTGGGCAACTCTTTACAGCTATAAGTGTGAGCGTAGTCAGTGACATTTTGTGACATTACCTAACTTCATATTATGAACAGTTCAGAGCAAAGATTCATTTGTCTCTGCCCCCTTTTGAAGAGACGCATGTTTATGCATACATGAGTAGTTGTGTGCACTATTTGACCTAAAATGCATTCATGTAGCTTGTGTTACGTGGCCCTGGTGTGTGTGTGTGTGTGTGTGTATACTAGTAGATCCAGGGTAAGTGTGTTGACCCCAGTCATGTCGGAAGTTCAGGAGTTGAGAGGGATTTTCTTAAGGGGAACTTTGCAGAAGTGTTTGTCTGTCTGTATTTGTGTGTGTCTATCTCTTTGTGTGTGTGTTTGTGTAAGCTTTGGTGATTAATGCCAGATGTATGAGTATGTGTATGAGGGTGTCAGCAATATCTTGAGAGGGCCCCACTATACTTCATTTGGCCCTGGTTGGAGAACATGCTGAAGCGACTTTTTCACACATGGCTGACATTAATATCTTTGCTCTTCATCCCCTGGATTCACACAGGGTTTGAAATATCAGTTCAGTCTGAGCCAAAGGAAGTTTAATAAGGATCTGTAGCAGGATTAATGCAGAGCTCCTTCTGCTCCACCAGAGGGTGGGAGAGAGCTGTAAAACATGTGCAGCATCTCTAAACCTAGGTCCCACCGTCAGGACTAACTCCTAACCTGTAGGTTAGTAGTATTTTTGCCAGGGATATTTGCAGTTATAAAGCTTATTTAAAGCCCAGGAACATTATGTTTTTGTGTTGTATTACTGGTTTGAAATTACATTTTAAAGAGAAATAGTTTACCTAATAGTTTTATTTAGAAAATATTACATTATCTACTTTATATTTCACTTGTATTTTTGTGGCATTCATGTGGACGGCAAAGTAAGAATTTCATTGTGCAGGGAAACACGTTTCCTAACTGTGCATATGACAAATAAACACTTTGACCTGACCTTGACCATTATTTTGTGCAAAGTTGTGACTAATGCTGTACTCAATAAAGTACCTACCTAACACACATTGTCACTATCTATTAACTACTTGAATTTTTCTAAATAATCAATTTCTTTAGTCTGTTAAACATGAAAATTGTGAAAAACACCTACCATAAGTTTTAAAGCCCAAAATGACATTCACACACACCGGCCACTTTATAAGCTACACCTGTACAATTGTATGCAATTCAGTGCAACACTTCTGCCTTAACATCTGTGTTTATTTAGCTCAACATGTTTCAGTTTTTGGTGAAACTGTCATAAATGTATAAACTCAGTTATATGTTTATTATTAAGGTCACAGCTAAAGGTGGTTTTATACTGGACAACATTATTTTCAGAGGTGTTCTTCATATTCTGACCCTCTCATGGGGAGGACAAAAATATAGAGACAGGTTTAGAGACCCATGTCCTCCCCTGCCTTTCTCTCTACCTTTTGTCCATGTGTAAATATTTCACATTACTGCTGCCACTGGTGCATGATGCGAGGGACTGAGCGCTCATTGTGTGTACAGAGTGTGGGTGCTATGGTATGCAGCTTCTCGACGTGTGGTGTATCATGACAGGCGTGTGGCCACTGACGCCAGCTAGCCGCCTGCCTGTCTCTCTGTCTTGCTGTTCAGTTACACCTGACTGGAACTGACATTGTCATACCCACACACACATGGACACATGTAGAATCATGCATAGACACTTGCTCACATATCCATCCCAGCCATCAACTCCCTGCTATGGTAATCGGCACACTTACCCCTTCAGTACAGGAGGTCGGCATTAGGCCTTGGTGTTGTCTTTGATGCTCTGCTGACTTGGCGTGAGTTTCACCAATATATAATCAAAATAAAGTAATCTGACTACAGAAATGTAACTTGTACAATGTAACTTTAATTAGAGCTGTTGCACATCTATCATAGTTATTAGTAAGAATAGTTACATTTTTTCCCAAACCATGAATTCATATTTTCTGTTGGATAAGTGTGTCTAACCTTATAATAAACAGCCTTGGCGGTATTGAAAGTGTATTATTGCATTTTGAAGTTTTAAAATGTGCTCTATAGGCCAGGCGATATTGCAGCACACTGTGGAGTATCCTTGGTATTTAGTTTGTGCTGCTGAGGTGAAAAGTTGAACCTGGTGTTGCCCTTCTCTTGAGAGCGGGCTTAGCTCTGAAGTCAGGCGCAGGCCAAAGGCACAGGGAGGATATTCTCAAGTTCCTCTCTCCCTTCCTCATTGCTCCTCTCCATGGCAACCCTACCCTCCCACACGGAAACAATTAGCATCTGTGATAAAATGTTACATATTTCCATCATTTTATCTCACTGGTTTTGTTTGTTTGCTTTTCTATCATGACGAAAGTCTTGTGTCCCCTCGTCACGGCGCTCTATCACAGT